CCAAAAGCATTGATTTAAAAAGAAATGAATAAATTCATAACTACCTGTCAATTGTATTTTCACATTCAATGCAATAATCATATTCATTTAAATCATCATCTTCATTAGGATATAATTCAGGTTGTGTAATTATTTGATTTATGTTATTTGTGACAAATTCAATAGCCTGTTCAACCAATAATTTATCAAGTTCCTTTAAAATATTATGCAATGTTGGACGCCGGTCCGGATTAGAAGACCAACATTTCTTGTAGAGGTTAACAAATTTTGGGGGAGTATTATTAATAGGTTTTTCTCTTTTTTTTTGTGAAATTAGTATTATTATTTGTGGATCGGGAAAATGTTGAAATGGACGAACTCCACTTGTAAGTTCCCAAAACAAAATTCCTAGACTATAAATGTCAGACTTTTGATCTGGTTTTTTATTTCGGAGATAATATTGTGGTTCAATATATGCAGGTACTCCTCCCATACTTGAACTTGAAGTAGTAGTATCATTTAATTGTTTTGATATCCCAAAGTCCGTGATTAAAGCTTTGCTACCATCTATCAGAATATTCTTTGCATGCTAAAGAAATTTATATAAAATTGCATGAATTTAATTTAAATAAGAGTTAGAATGCTTTTTAAACCTACCAAATCTCGATGAATAATGTTTTTTTCGTGTAAATGCATTAATCCAAGCGTGATATCGTTTGCGATTTGAACAAGTTTAGTCCATGAAATTTTATAAATGCCCTTTTCTTGCTTATTTTGTAAATATTCCCGTAGGTTGCCATTTGTGGCAAATTGTAGAACAAGCATAAAATTGCCCGTCGGCGCTTTTGAAGTTATAAAGTTTTGGTGATTAGAAATTGCTAGTTATGATTATATTGATTATATTCGTTTTTAGAATTGAATCTTATACCTTGTGAAATTCCATAGAATTTTACAACGTTAGGATGATTAGTTACATAAAGAAGTTTAAGCTATAATATATTCAAATAAAATGGTAATTAGCAATTTAATGAAATACGAAAATCAAGTAAGAATGATAGATTACTTCACGTTGTAATTGGTTAAATTCTCTTTCGTCTAAACCCAGATTATTGTCTAGGCTTTTTAATGCATACACTTTTTCTTTGAAAGTAGCCGAATACACAGTTGCATATGCTCCCTTTCCGATGGTTTTGATATTTTGAAATTGTGAATAATCAAAATTTTCTATATCGTATTTGTTCAAATACGATTTTAATTGCTCCGAATATTCAATTACTAATATGTGAATTAGTATATTGCATAAATCAAAATCATATCAACATGAAAACTTACATGTTTTCTCCGTCATGATTTTTGATTAATGGATATTATTTCATTTATTAAAATTGCAAAATGATTAATCTTTAGAGCAACGAATTCCGAAGAAAATAAACAAATACTGTATTATTTAATAATAAGCTAAGAAGAATATTTGAATGAGCCTATTAAAAATGGATAAATAAGTTATTTAAGGAAGAATATATCTTCAAATAGAAAGTAGGAAACACAAATACTCTGAGTAAAGAAATTTATTTCTTGAAATATATTTACTGACGTACAATCAATCTTGTTCCATTTTCACATACCCTATAAAAAAGATTTATACAGTATATGTTATATTTTCGTTCAACCTTATACAATTTATGTTCAAAATGGATGCAATATTGTACAATGTTTGTACCGAGGCGTGTAAATATGATAGTACAAATTTGTCCAATAATTATATGGAATATTTGAATAATAACATAACAATGCACAATAGCACAAATTTGTTCAATATAGTACAAATTTGTCTAATAATTATGTGAAATATTTGAATAATAACATAACAATGCAAATTCGTTCAATAATATAGTACAAATTTATCCAATAATTAAATGAAATATTTGAATAACATCATATCGATATGAAATACTAAACTTTTGTACAAATTATTTACAATTAATTACTAGCTGCATAGGATCCGTAAGTTGATTAATAATTATGCAATAATAATTGTATGAAAATGTATAATATTAACAATTAACAATTATGCAGTTTTTATTTTATTTATTATCATTATTCATCACTAGAGACCTCTTTATCCACAATATAAAATGACTTGTCAATTTCAATAAATCCTACATTATGATCAATAGCTGATGCGCTAATAAATGCGCATGACGCAAATTAGTTAAATTTCTTTACACCAACATTGTCCTCTTCAACAGATGACATCTACTGAATATAAGCCAACTCACTTTATATTCTTCGAATTCGTAATGTCATAAAAATCTTGAACTTTAAATACTGATAGTCATTTTTGATAATTTGCACAAATGTCAATTTCTATTTTAACTAAAACAGTATAATTAATTTAAGACCAGTCTTTATTCTAATGAATCCACTTTGACACAATATAATGATCATTTTTAGTTCTGAGTTGCTCATATTTTGTTCTCATTTGTTTAAAAGACCTAAGTTGCAAGCAAGATACATTTGATGTAGTGGAAAAATGTTACTTGATTTTTCTTAATTCACTTTGTATTAATCTATATTGAGTTGAAGAAAAATAAAAGTCCTGATTGTTCCTTGTATAATTTAGATGCTGGTCATGTATTTTTAGTAGAATTTTTAGAAAAATCTGATCACTGATCATTTGATTGAACTTTAAACAATTAAAAATTTTAAGTAAGTAAATGTTATTAATGAAGTTTTTATATTGATGTAATCTTGATTTTGTTAATAGAAGTAACATTTTATGCACTCTTTCAATTGAGTATTGTCATGTTATACAACAAAATCACATTTGAAAAATGCTTTTTGATATATATAACATATTATAAATACATATTTTCATTATACTCAAACAGTATAACACTCTACAATAATATTCTTTTTTATAATAAATATAAAATGTCAAAAGGCATAATTGAATTTTGTTTAAATTATTATATGTTATAATTTATTTTTGATATAATTGAATGGTTTTTATAAATAAACTCCAACTTTTATAATATTTTTTAGGCAAATGGGTTTTAAGAAATAGTAATAAATATATTATAATTCAAGAAAACCATTCTTTAACTTTATAACTATTATGATACAAACTAATATTTCTTAATAATTGATCTAAATTTGATGAAATAATTTTTAAACTAGATATATTTCTTTTTAATTTTATTTTATATTTCTTTACTTAAAACATATTTACTATTATTTAAATTTGGATTTATAAAAAAAGAATGCATTTAAAGATCAAATATATAGTATAACTAGTAATATTCTTATAAAAAAACATAATATTTACAGAAAATGGTTTTGAAAAAATTAGTGATAGTATGATCAAACAGGATATTTTTTAGAAATATTATAATGTTTTATAATTTGATTTTATTCTAATTTTACTTATGCATTATGAATTTCTTATATTTATCTTTTATATTTATTATAAATTCTAAGAGATAAATTTGTTAGATTATAAGTTTCATTTTTTTTAGCTGATTAAATAGAATAGTATATATGTGAAAAATAAGTATTCTTTATATTACAATAGTAATATTTTTTAAATAAGTTATAACTTATAAGACACATTAATTTTATAAGTGCAGGTATTTTATCAAACTATAATAATATATAATCATGTAAAATAAATTTATTATTATAATTAATATTTAAACATTTTATTTTTTTTCTATTTATGTAATTTAGGTAACAGAAAATAAAAAAATTTTTAGATCTTTCATTTCTTTAAAACTAAGTATAACTGTTGAAATTAAGAAGTTTTTTTTTTATATATTGTTAAAATAGTAAGTTTGTATTTATAAATAATAAAAACTAGCAATTATCTGTTTTTTGTTTAAAAATTTAGAATTTATTAATTAATACTAATAAGGCAATATTATGATTTTTCTTAAAATATCTATTCTTTACTAGGTCTTTATAGTGCTAACTATCAAATACATCTTTAATATTTTTATTAAAATAATATTATAGGTTATAAAATATATTCAGAACAATATAATAAATTGTTTATTTATATTATATCTTTATATTAAATAATTATATGATTAATAATTAAGAAATATACAAATTAATAATGTAGCTTACTCCTCCCAAATTTATATTATTATCTATATAATAACCTCCCTATTAAATCACATTCCAGATACTCAACTCCTCATACTATCTCAGATAGTATTTTCTTTAATACACATAATGATAATAATTCAAATTCTATTACTCCTAATTTACATAACTCTAACTCTTTAACTACTAATAATATACCTTTTTTACAAACAACTCTTTCACATGTTATCTCAATTCTTATAAAAATTGGTTCTTTAAATATTAATAGTTTATTTCAATACTCAAAAAAACTTTTATTTATTGACATAATCAACCAATATAATTTTGATATCTTTGGATTATCAAAAACACACCTAACTTCAAAAAAAGAAAAAAATATTAATAAAGACCTTCAAAACTATAACAGCTTCTGGAGTTTTTATAAAAATTCTCATTAAGCAGATGTTAAAATTTTATATATAATAGAATCTCCAAATATGTAGCTAGAACACACAACTATAATAGTTATATAATTGGTCTCAATTTATATTTCAAATACAATTCTATTTATATTCTCCAAATTTATCTTCCAACAGCTGAGAAAAAACAATTATGTTCTGAAATTTAAGAACAAATTATCCAACTTTGTAACAATTCCAACTACTAACTAATAATATTTAATGATTTTAATAGTATTCCTAATCTACACTTGGATAGAAATCCTTCTAAAAACACTTCTATTTCAGAATCTCAAATTCTTAAATACCTAATCAGTCATCAATTCAAAGATATATACTGACTTTTTTTTCCTTTAACTCACAACTTTACTTTTACTTGCTTAATCTCAAACAATAGAATTGATCAAATATGAACAAATCTAAGCATATCTCAAATTGACTATACTGATATTCTTGAGAATATCTCATTTGAATCAGATCACAAAATTATTATTCTCGATATATCTATAACTATTAATAAAACAAAACCTACCAAATAACATACAAGGAAAAACTTTTTTTGGAAAAACTGTTCTAAGAAAAACCTAGAAAACTACTCAAACCAAACATCACAAAGCCTCACACAACTTCAAACTAAAATAACAAATATTACAACCCAAAATGAACTTAATCTAGTTTGAAACAAAATACTTAAAGCACTTTCCAAAGCTGCTACTAAAAACATTCCTTATAAAAAACTCAAAACTATTCATGAAATCAAATCAGATAAACCACTCAAACATTATTCCCTCTATTATAGATACAAACAAATATAATACTTTAAAAATCACTTACAATCTCTAAATCTTTATAATCTTTTTCATGAATATAATACTAAATATCCTGATAATTTTATTATTTAATCTCAAACTTCTGATAATCTTCAATCTATTATTAAATAAGAATTTATTCAAATTAAATTAGCACTTAATACTTATAATCAACAACAAACCCAAAAAGAAATTCAACAAAAAATTAAAGACCGAAATCAACTCTTTTATTCACAACCAAAAAAATTCTTTAAAAATATCTTTGAAAAATACAATAGTATACACATTGATAGATTATTAAATCATAACATCTTATTGACAGAAGAAGATCAAATTAAACAAGCTATTCATACTCATTTTTCTGAATACTTTAATAAAAAACCTTTTCAACAAATCCAATCCAATTCTGAATACTATGAATTCTACCAACCCCATCCTGAATTCGAACCACATTATCAGAACTTATTTAATGATATTTCTGATAATGAATGACAAAATATCATTCAAAATCTTCTTCTTTAAAAAGCTACTAGACCTCTTGAAACCAACTATGAACACATTAAATATGTTGGCTTTTCTGACTAAATCTCTTTTAAACTTTTTATTAACAAATGTTTTTAACTTCAAAAAATTCTATCAGATTGGATAACATCTAACATCTTTCTCATTCTAAAAAAATCTTCATGGGACTTTACACTAAATCAAGTTCACTCTATCTTAATCATAAAATCTATGAAAAAATGGTTTACAAAACTTTTTACACAAAGACTTGATAACATCATTAACACAAACAATCTTCTTTCTAATCTTAATTTTGCAACTACCAAAAACTAATCAACACACATTCTAATTCAAATCCTTAACAATACTATTGAACATTATAAATACTTTAACAAAGAAGCATGGATAATGTTTCAAGACATGTCTAAAGCTTTTGATAAAATTAACATATCTCGACTTCAAGATACCTGTAAAAGAATTGGTATTCCTTTATA